CGCCCCCCGGCGCGCGGGCGTCCTGGAGAGGGGCGCTGCCGGGCCTGGCAGAGGGCGCGGGGTGCAGGCGGGGACCCCGGGCACCCCGCCCTCTTCATCCCCCACTCGGCGCTCCTGTTCGGTAGGCTTTCCCCTTTGCCCGGACCCGCGTGGAAATAGGGGTCCAGCCAGGGCACCCCAGCCCCCCCTTTCCCGGGACTTGGATTTAAAGGGACAAGAACTGCGTAATGGGAGGGTGCCAGCACCCAGGGCGCTCTCTGCCCATCCCGGGAACCGCGGGGTGAAACCCGGCAGAGCAGGCCTGGGGCGGTCCGGGGGCGCCACTCCCCGACTCCGCGCCTCGTCCCTCCAGCCTCGCTCCTATCCGTGACTCCTGCCCCTGGTTTGACTGGAGAGGCTCTTGGCAAACCACAGGTGGTTTTTCCTATGACAAATAATCCGTCCTTTTTCCTTACAGGCAGTTTGGGTCCAAATGTGGGCGGGAAGGGGGCGCTTGCCTCCGAAAACATATCCCCTCCCCATAAATTATAAGAATGTCCGGCCACACGTATATATCTTGGAATAAAGACACCCCAATTCCGTCACTCCCCTGCACCCTGGCCAACAGGTAGCCCCTCACTCCGGGAGTGGTCGCTCTCTAGGAGAGCAAAGTGGGATCACCACTCGGGTGTTACCAGTCTCTCTCCACACATATTCCCACTCCCACCCCCTGCACTCCCAAGAGATGGTGTCTGATTCCTGGATCCGAGTATCCTGGGACCAATTTAAAATGCATTTCCTGGACCATACATCCGCAGGCAGGAGATCCCGCGTTCCCAGCTCTTGAGGAGCGTGTGCGGCAAATGGCTGACTGCACAGGGTCCGGACTAATTGGAGTGCGGGCTGGTGACGCGGGACTGCATTGAGCCAGGAATTGCAAGCCAGGCGAAGGAGCCTGAGATTTAGCACTGCTGAAGAAGTGCAATTGAAACCTCCAATTAGCCAGGGGCCCTGCTCAGCCTTCTCTTGCCTGCGTTGTTCCCACCTTTGGCTCAACAGGCCCTCGCAGGAAAAATAGCCCCTCTTCCGACCGCAGAGCTCAACTCAACTTCTAGTCTTGCCCTGAGCACCCAAGCCCCCTCCCTAAAGAGTCACTAGCCTGGAGTGCAGTCACCTCCCCCCACCCCCCCACCCCCAGGAGGGTCGTTTAGGGAGTTTGCAGTGATTTGCAGTTACAATGATTCAATGCACCTTCTTGTCCCTGTCTCCCTGTGCTCATCTGGAAGGCTTCTCTAAATGCCTGAGGGTGGAATTGTTGGGTCAAGCACATCTTTGGACTTTACAGAACTTGCTCCCCAGAACCCCTGGAGCATTTCCTTCTCACCCTTCTCACCCTTCTCTACTTCCTGATAGGCACTTGGTATGATCAGACTTCCTATTCGGTTTCCATTTATTTTATTTTGTCACCAGTCTAAATGAGTATGAAATAGCATCCCCTGGCCGTTTGGTGTAAATAAAAAATTACATATGGTGAATGAGTAGGCAAAAGGGCTGCAGATTTTTCTCACAAGATTCAGGTTCAAATCCTGCCTCGAGGGCTGGGCAGCTGTGTGGCTTTGGGCAGTGGCTTGATATCTCTGAGCTCAGTTTTCTCATCTGTATGATGGGGATCATAATAGTTCCCATAAGGCTGCCATGAGAATTCAAGGAGCTGGCACCCAACACATGGTAAGCGCTGAAGAAGTGGGAAGCGGTGGTGTTATTAGGAGACTAGCGCCGCCCCCCACCCCCCAGCAAAGGTCATGTGTTTCCATGTGGGATACCCAGCCTTCAGGCTGCTCTTCCCAAAACTGTTGACATAAAATCGCGTTTCTCTTGTACACACTGCACTTTATTTCTTCCATTTTATTTCCAACCCATTTTTTGCTGATTCAGCAGCCCTTCCTCACAAGAGCAGAGGGATTGCAACTGAGATCTTGTTGGAAAATGGTGATTGGTTCCAAGCAATTACTGGTCAGCACCTTCTACCTCTGGGTAATGCATACCCTTCCCCCTGGCAATTCCAACACACCTCTCACCCTCCCACCACCGACTCTCCCTTCTCTCTCCTGCACAGTCAGATTAGCTCTAGCAGTGACAGACTCTACTGTCTGAAATGCAGATAGAAGAGGCATTTGATTTGTGCAATTTGGAAATCGTTCTCCCATAAAGTGGGACTGGAGGTATTGATTTCATTTTGGAGGAAACTCTCCAAGGCTATAAACATAGTACCACCCAGCAATTTAAAAACTGAAAACCAAGGAGAAAAACGTAAAGCTGTATCACCATGCAGAATTTTATGGCTGTGTGCACCAGGTTCTGGAGTGAACACCTTTCATTAGATCTCATGGGCACTCCTCAGGTGACCTGGGCTTACATACCATCCTTTCGTAAAGATCAGTGGAGATCTTTCGTAAAGATCACCTGGAGCCTGTCTCAGTGAAGTGTCTGGCCAAAGGGAAAATAATGACCGAGGAGAATTCCAGCCCAGGGGAGCTGGTTTTCCAGCCTGTGACCTTTCTGGCCTCCAGGCATTGCACTCCCCATCCCTTGCCTGCTCCCTCTTAGGTAACTGTGACTGGGAAGTTTTCGAGTTCCAGCTCCAGAAAGGCTTCCTGGTTTCCCTGTATAGAGAACTACCCCCCTTTCATCGCCACAGAAGCCTGTCTGTTTCCTTCAGAGAAGTGAACTACAAACTACAGTTACCCGTTTCTCTTCTTGTCCATGCCTGTGTTTACCCCGACACTGAGATGGCTGCGTCAAGACCTCCCATCCTGGGGGCTCTCCTGAGAGGTGGGCTGGCTCGTGAGTGTAGCAGAAGGGACATCATGTGACTTTGAAGGTTAGGGGGTAAACAGTGACACAGCTTCTGCCTCATGGTCTCAGGATGCTAGAGCTTGGCACCGAATCACCATGATCTTAGGAAGCCCAAGCGGCCCGTGGAGAGGCGCATAGGGCAGAAACAGGCCTCCAGCTGGACTCCCAGCCAGCCCAGCACCAATTGACAGCCATGTGAATGTACCATCTTGAACTCAAATTCTCCAGCTCAGTTGGGCCCCCCCCTGTCGATGCCACATGGAGCAGAGGCCCCACCCATGGGAGCTTTCCCCACCACAACTTGTCACAATATAAATTTCTGAACAAAATGAGTGATTGTTGTTATGTTAAGCTAGGAGTCATACAAACTACAGTTCAGGGGCCAAATCTGGCCCGCTGCCTGTTTTTACAAGTAAAGTTTTATTGGAACACAACCACCCTCATTCATTTACATATGCCTATGGCTGCTTTCCCACCACAATGGCAGAGTTGAGTCACCGCAACAGAGACTGTATGGCCCATAAAGCCTAAGATATTTACCACCTTGTTCTTTACAGAAAAAATTTGCCAAGTCCTGTGTATGAGTCTGCTCAGGCTGCCCTCGCAAAATGCCATAGCCTGGGCTGTGGGTGTGTGGCTTAAACAGGGGGATTTATTTTCTCACAGTTCTGGAGGCTAGAAGTCTGAGATAAGGGTGCCAACATGGTTATGTTCTAATGAGGACCCTCTTCTTGGCTTACAGATGGCTGCCTTCTCACTTCGTCCTCATCTTTGGGAGAGACAAGAAAGGGATGGAGAGAGAAAGAGATCAAGTGAACAAGTATGGGAGATCAAGAGAGCTCTGGTGGGTTTTTTTTCTTATAAGGACACTAATTCTATGGGATCGGGCCCCACCCTGAAGACCTTATTTAACCTTAATTACTTCCTTACTCCATATATAGCCACAGTGGGGTTAGGGCTTCAATATATTCATTTGAAGGGAACACATTCAGTCCATGAGACCCTGCTTTAAGCCACCGAGTTTTGGGATGGTTTGTTACACAGCAGTAGTAACCAGAACAGACTGTAAGCTTCGTGCTGATGGAAGCACATCTGTGTTGTTCACTTTCAGCGTAAGATACACACTGGTGGCACAAATTACCAACCCAAGAGTTAAGTGGTGGTACGTAGCGTGGTGACAGGAAAAACACCCTTCAGGCATTGGGGGTTATGGGCTCCGGTCTTGGTTCTCACACTAACTTGTGTGCAACAAGTCTCCCAGCTTCCCGAGGCCCAGCGTCTTCACCTATAAACTGGGAAACTAGATGGTTTCCCTGGTCCCTCAGTTCTGTGATTCTAGAATTTTACTCAGCACGCATCACCACTCTTCCTGTAGTCCAGTGTGACCCCCTCATTGCTGCATGGTGGGTTAGGTTATTTACTGTCTCTTGTGCTGCAGTACTCATCAGGACTGTGGGGGTGGCATGCATGGGGTTGTTGAGGGGATAACTCCCTCAGAGGGGTTATCTTCCTGGGGTCACCCCGGACCATCTTCTAGGGTTTGTTGGCTCAGCCCTGTGACACCCCAAAACTGGTCCCCTTACGCGCACTCATGCAAATGTGGGAGGCTGACCTGGCTCCAGCACTTGGAGCAGTTGTTAGAAAGGGCGTCTGCTATCTCATCCATGCAGTCCCCTTAGCTGCCTGGGTTTAAAAACTGGCTCAGTCGCTTAGGTGCTGGGAGCCCATTATGGGATCTCTCTGTGCCTTGTTGTTCATCTTTGGAGTGGCACCAACACTTGTTGCTACTTCATAGGGTTGGGCGAAGAGTAACCAACTCAACACAGGTAGCTAAGGTGTTTGGTAGTCCCTACCACCTCGCTGGTCCTCAGTAACTCACAGTTGTTGTTATTATTATCCTTCCCTCTCCAGTGGTGGTTGTTCCCAAGAATGAAGATGGTCATCTGGTACAGGTGCTGCCTGTGCTCAGGGGATGCTGGAGGTGCCCTGTGTCCTCTCTCCCCCATTCTCTCCTAACAGCACTGCTCATTTTCTTATTGTAACCCTCCACCGGTCCAGACTCAGCCCCCAGGGAGGAGACGACCATTGCTTGGAGGCGCTTATAAGGATCTAAACCTTGAGATTGTCCCGGGGCTCTTGATTCATCCCCAAACCAGAGGCAGAGAAAGAGGCCAGCCCCGGGTGGGAGCAAAACGAGGAGTCAAATTATTGGATTTGTTGGCCGGTTTCTCTGTGCCTGACCTTGAGTATCTGATTTCATCTAAATCCTGGCATCTAAATCCAGTCCTTTGGAGTCTGGACTGCGAGCATCCCTTCCTTCTTAAAGATGGGTAAACTGAGGCTCAGGCAGGTGAAGTGAATGGCCCAAGGCCACAGACAGCTAGCAAGAGTCAGCACCAGGGCTTGACCCCAAAAAGGCAAGGAGAACTTTGAGGGGAGTCTCACTCCTGGGCTGCTCTCCACTGCCAGAGCCCTGCTTTCAGGGCAGAAACACTTTGCTTTGATTAATTGCCGACCAGCCACAAGGTGCAAGTTCTGCTAAGGAGGAAAGGTGAGAAACCTTAATCTGAGTTTTGAAATTGACTCTAAGCCCACATCTTAGTTCCAGGAAACGCTAGCAGTTTCAAAGTGGCTAAAAGGAGTGCCGACTGTGTACCAGGTACTTTCTCAGTATTTTCCAGTGGTTAATTCATGTATTCCTCCTACCAACTCCAAGATGTGGTTCCTAGAGGATGTTATTATCCCCATGTTATGGATGAGAAAACTGAGGTAGAGAGCTCTTAGTAGTAGGGATGACTTGCTTACGATAGGCAAGTAAATTCTTAAGGAAATGGTTCTGCAACCTTGATAATCCAAGTTCAAGTGTTCCCAGACTCATCCACTCTGTTTTTTCTTCTCCACCAGGAGTGCCAGGAACCCCCCCATTCCTGACCATCCTTCATAAGGACAGCCAGTGAGTGCCTGCTGTGAGCTGGGCTCAGTGGGTACCCTGAAATCCCTCCCCCTCCAAGCCACCTAGGGTGGGTGGGTGCCACATTGTGAACCAGGAACCAGAGCCTTGGGCAAATGAGCTAACCTGCCAGTACGTGGCAGTGTAAATTCGAAGCAGTCATGTGGTCACCCCTTTCTGCCCTGCTGTCCTGCAAGGAACCCTCCATCCTCATCCCTAAACTACTTTCTCCAACTCAGCCACTGGAATCGTGACATCGGGAGGTAGCAGCAATAACAGCAGTCACAGAACGCTGCCATCACAGCCACCACTCTGCTCGGCCAGATGCCCACCCCTCGAAGGCAACAAGTGCAATGGCAATAATCGCACCATCTGGTTCAAAATATAAAACGTTCCCCTGGTGCACCTCCCATCACTGTTTATGCCACACACTGCAGGGAACAGCTATGCTGACTTGTGTCACCATAAATTAGTTCTGCCTTATCCTTGAACCTCATATAAATGCAATCCTACACGTGTGTCTGGCTCCTTGCGTTCAACATTACTTCTCAGATCCATCTGACTTGTTATGTATGATATAACGGCACTTTGCTATTTTTGGTGCTATATAGTATTTCGTTGCATGAATATACTATAATGTATTTATCTATTCTCCTGTTGGTAAACATGTGCGTTGTTTCTGGTTTGGGATTATTTTGAATAAAGCTGGTTATTTTCAACAGTTGTTTTGAGTAAAACTCGTGTATGTTACTTCTAGGAGTGAACTTACTGGGACCTAGGGTAGTAAATATATATATATATATATATATTTTTTTTTTGGAGAACAGCTATGGTCATTGGTTACACATTGCTTTCATGCTGTAATGGCATAGTTGACTCTTTTAAGGAGGGCGCAGCTCACAGTGGCCCATGGGGGATTGAACCGGCAATCTGGTGTTATCAGCATGACACTCTAACCAACTGGGCCAACCAGTCAAAGTGTAGTAAATATTAACATGTAGTTTTCCTAAAGTGGTTGAGTCAATTTGCATTCCCCCAGCAGAGGGTGAGAGTTCTAGTTGCTCCACATCCTCACCAGCACTTGGTAATGTCAGTCTTTCTAATTTTAATCAATCTAATGGATGTGTAATGATATCTTGTTGTGAATTTACATTTCTTAGATAAACATTTTGTAAATTAATTGGGTGTATTATTTTTACTTGTATTTCGTTATTTAATTTTTTATTTTTGATGTTTCTATCTATTATTATTTATGTGTTGTATCTGTTTTTACAGTTTCCTTCTGAGACTATCATATGCAATGGATTTTATACTTAGATTGCTAATATAAAGTTTTCTTTGAAAATAGATATATCCAAGTTTATAAAAAAGGGTAGGGGGATACATTTAAAGAAAAATATTATGCAACTCATAGGCCAGCAGGGATGAGAACGTGGCAATTTATTGGAAGAGACAGGGACCTCTCTGGTCTCAAGAATGGAGGTAAAAGCAGGCTCTGGACAGCAATTAAGAATTGGAAAGTCAGAACTCAAGTCCTCCCTTTTCCTGGGCCCCACTGTCTCTCATCTGGCCTATCTGCACTATGTTTCTGCTCTCCATAGATCAATTTTCTCTGCCACAATCTGCTCTTTCTATACCTCTCAGTCCAACACCCTGACAATCAATAACCTGGACTCTGTGGATCCTGATTCCCGGGAGGGAGATTCCACTTGGGTCAGCATGAGTCAGTCAGCTGTGATCAAAGAGTAGGGTCCTACTAGGTGACAGCAAGAAGGAAACATGATTGGCATTTCTAGTGCAAGTAGAGGAAACGCATTCTAAACCAAAAATTGGTATGTGTATTCTGTTGAGGGGACAGGTGATTTGACACGGAGGAAGGAAAGAGCTCTGAAAAAAATGGCAGGCATAATTTTACTTTTTATTTACCAAGAACAAGAGCTATCTATGACCCCAAGGAGCACTGTCATTGGTCATTCAATTTCTATATAGATGAAGACAATTATGAAGATGAGAGGAGTGGAGGAAGAAAGGAGGAAGAAGAAGATGATGCAGAAATGATTTGGATGAATTAGCAAAAAGGAAAAAGAGAGGCTATGGTGGAGGTGATAATGATGGTGATGGTGATGGTAATGGTGGTAGTGATAGTGATGGTGATGGCGATGGTGGTAATGGTGATGGTGATGGTGATGATGGTGATGGTGAAGATGGTGATGATGGTGATGGTGATGATGGTGATTATTACATTGACGTTCCTGGATCTGTGCTCAGCACTTTACATTTATTATAACAATTTATTCTAAGACAACCCTATGAGACTGGTACTATTATTATCCCCATTTTACAGATGAGGAAACCTGAGGCTTGGACAGGTCAAGTCATTTACCCAAGGTGGAAATGAACCCAAGCAGATGACACACATGATCTTCTGTCTCAACTGTGTAAGTGTCCCCTCCCTGGAGAAGACGAGTTGTTGTCTGTGGTCAAGCCACATATTTGTACAATTTGATGAATGGTCAAATAGCAAATGCCCATGAACAACAACAAAGTCCAAGGAATTGAACATTATCAGCACCCCCAAAACCCACAGTGTGCTCCTCCCCAATCATAACCTTCTCCTTTCCCCCAGATAGAACCATTAATCTGAATTTATGGTCATCTTTTCCTCTTTATAGTTTTACCACCTGTGTATGTGTATTCCTAAGCACTGCGGTTTAGTTTTGCCTGTTGTTGAACTTCAGGTGACTAGAGTTATACCATATATATTCTTTTCTGCCCAACATTGTGCTTGAGGTTCATCCATATGGTTGTGCATCTCTAGGGTCCATTCATTCTCTTAGCTGTATAATATTCCCTTGTATAAATATGCATTCTCCTGTAATGGGATATTTGGCTTGTTTCCATCTGGGGGCTATTACAAACAACTGCTTCCACTTATTGGCCTGTGTATTCTGGAATGTGTGCACACATCTCTTTGCCCAGGAACACTTGTTCACTTTCGGGACTCACTATAAACCTCCCTCTCCAGGGACTCCCCACGCCAGGTAAGTGCTCTTCTCTGAACTTTGTCAGCATCTATGCTCCTCCCATTATAGCGTATGTCACTCTGTCATGTAATTATCTTTTAATTCATGGTCTCATCCACTCACATGAGAAGGGGGGAATGCTGCTCTGTGGGACCCTGTTAGATTCCTCTCCTCCCCCCTTGGTGCCCAGCATGATGTCTGGCACACATTAGGAATGCAATGATTGCATTTTGAGTAAATGATGAATGAACAAATGGATAAATGAACAGTCAGCAGCCTCTAAGCATTTGTTGAGCCGAAGCTTGTCTCATAAGTGAACAGTGGAGCCCAGAGGTGCTGTTAAGACATTAGCTCAGCTGTGGCTGTTTCTGAGCTGTGTTTTGACCTTGTTTGACATGGGCTGATATCACGGACATGGCACCTGGGGACACCGTCTACAGGCAGAGAAGTGGGGAGGATTGCAGAGGCCTTACTCACCCTTCCTGCTCAGCAGGTGGTTTGTTGAATGCATAAAGACCTCCAGAAAAATGCTTCCGGCTGTGTTGCCTTTTTTTCTATTCTCTCCTCCTTCTCTGTCTCCCAGGGCTAATAAGTGTGATTAGACCTCATTAGAGCCAGGCAGCCAGTGGTTTCCTCATGCTTTTTCCTTATGTATTGTGTATCCAATTCGTCCATCCTCATGGAAGATTAGTGAGCAGGGTGGTGCAGAAAGAGGCTCATGGATCTTCTCGTTCATTGAAGAGGAAGATGAAAGTCATGGAGTCCAGGCAAGAGCTGTGGGCAGGGGCTGAGCTATCATAGATTGGTGGCTGTATCTGAGTGTCAAAGCCAGCACGCAAAGGCTCAGAGGTTGGGGAGGTAAATTCAGAAATCACACTAGTGGATTGGAGGCCTGGCCAGCATAGACCAGCTGGTGTGCAGGCCAGGCCATGTGAGTTCACACCTATCCTATCAGTGATGAGTTTCGTCAGAGCCCACTGACCTTGGGATAGCATCCAGTCTCCCTTACATGATTGACAAGGCATCCCTGACCAGTGCCTGCCTACCCTTTCTGCCTCCTCGTTCTCTACTTCCTACTTCCTGCTCCTATATCTCACCCTGCCTAGGCCAGCCTCCACCCTCACATATTCTGTTCCCCGCAGGTGCCATGTCAGTGATACCTGCACATGCTTTCATGTCTCAGCTGAGTACCTCCTTCTTCCCAGGAAGCCTACCTGCCCCACTACCCTGTCCAAGGCCAAGATGGGTGCTCCTGCCCTGTGCTCTCAGAGCTCCTTGGACCTTCTGACTCATCACATTTGGCACACTGTGTGGTCCAGGTTTGTTTCATCATCAGCATTCTCTGCTAGATGTTGAAAGGCAGGGACTGTGGCTGCTGGGTCCACTTTCTATCCCAACTCATTGTCTCTACATAGTAGGTGCTCAATAAATATGATGTGGGGTGACTGAATAAATAAGGTGGTTAAGTATTTTCTCAGGATCATGGAGTGGCTCAGAGGTAACTGGGACCGGGGACAGCTCCTTCCCTTCCCTAGCCCTGTCCCCCAACCTTGCCTTCTGTACAAAGTCAGGAAGGCCTCCCTCTCCTCCTCCCCGATGGCTACCTCCTGTGCCAATTCAAGTCTGCCATGGACAGAAGGTCTTTCAGCATCCATTACCCTTTACATAGGCAAAAACTTTCAGACTGCCCCCTGATTCTCAGCACATGTGTCGGGTAGTTTTCACCTAGGCGCCGATGACCTGTTTCAGCTCCTGAATCAAGCAGTGCCTGAAGGCACACCTATGTCTGAACTTATCCACTTACTGAGGTAGAGAAGCCAACAAATCCCCTTTTTGCTCACATCACTCTGAGCTGGGGTTGCTGGCAGTTATTTGCAAAAGGGTGTTTTTAAACAGCTTTATTGAGGTATAATTCACATACCATATAACACATACATTTAAAGTGTATAATCAATGTTCTGGGGATAATCATAAAGTTGTGCACTACCACTACAATGTAATTTTACCTCGTCATCATCCCTAAAAAAACCCTGTACATATTAGCAGTCCCTCTCTATTCTCCCCTCTCCCAGCCCCTGGCAAATACTACTCTCCTTTGTGTCGCTGTGGCTTTGTTTATTCTGGACATTTCCTATAAATGGAATCATATAATATGTGGTCTTTTGTGACCGACTTCTTTTACTCAGCATAATGTCTTCAAGGCTTATCTCTACTGTAGCATCTGTCAGTACCTCATTCCTTTTTATTGTCAAATAATGTTCCATTGTTATGGATGAACCACGTTTGTTTATCCATCATCAGAAGACATTGGGGTAGTCTTCCACTCTCGATGATGGTGAATAGTGCTGCTATTGTCATGTACAGGTTTTTTTGTGTGGACATATATTTTCATTTCTCTCCTGGGTATAAACCCAGGAGTGGAATTGCTGGGTCTTATAATAGTTCCGTTTCACCTTTTGAGGGACGTTTCAGGCCAGCTGTACTATTTGCCTAGCGATTAGTGATGTGGAGCATCTTGTCATGTGCTTATTGGCCAGCCAAGCCTGGTCTCCACATCCTCAGTAACTGTAATTGCCATTGTTAGAGCTTCTACAGTGTGATAGCTTTCTGGCCACGTGGGCCAAAACCATGCCTGTTTCGTTCTCTGCCACATCCCCAGCTCTAGCCTCGGGTTTCTTGAACGATGTTGTA